ATATATTAAAAATTAATTTATATTAAAAATTAGTAAATTGTACAAATAAAAAAAATAATTTTAGAGATGTAACAGTTTGAAATAATAAGTTATTAACTTATAATGAAATTTAAAAAGTATATTGTGTATAGTAGATTATCTCTTAACAATTAGTTAGATTAGCATATCTGTAATCTTAAATTACATTATCTTGAATAGGAATTCAGAGCATTTATATAAAATATAACATTATATATATATAAGAAATACTTATTAATGTTGCAAAAGATTTTAGTACAAATTCAAGATAAGACTACTAGGTATGATTGAAGAATTAAAGATTTATTTAAAATTTTATAAGTAATAAAGTAGAAAAAACTTTTAATAATATTGTTAAATTTATAAAGGTCTATAAAAATTATTTAAAGAAATAAGTAAATAAACTAAATAACAAAGATATATAGAAAAAAGAATGTGGCAACTTGTAAAATAGTCAAGTTGTTGCATTCCAAGTGACAAGTCCAAGGTTCAATTCCTACTAGTGATAAATATTGAATATTAAATCTTGTATGTTTTAAGTAAGATATTAACTTAATTAAAAATAGTAACATAACTTAAGTAAGATATTAATTAGAAAAATGTTAACTTATTAGCTATAATTTGTAGTACAAATCAAATAAAATTAATAACAGATCTGCAGTTGATCTGTATTAAAAAATTTACAAAAACACTAATTAGAAAGACTATTTGAAAGTTCCAAATATAGTATTCATATATAAAAGACAATAATTGCAAGATGTTTATAATTAGAAAGATAGAAAAATACAAGCTAATATATATAAATATACTCTTAAATATTATAAAATAGTCAGTATAAATATAAGATAAAATTATATAAAAATTAGTATAAGTATATAAAATAGAGACTATATAGTAAAAACCCTTTCTGCAAATCCAGTGCACAAAAATTAATTAAAAAATTCATCTATCTAAAAACACTTATAACTATTTATTTTACTAAGACAACCTGTTCTGAACTCTTAGTAAACTTGTTCAGCTCATTATTTTACATATATACTGCAAATATTAAGCTTTGATAATTTAAATTCATCAAAAAAATTGTACTGACGGTCTTTGGCCTCTAGTTTATAACTTTTAATCATCTTGCAGTTTCTACTGCCTTAACCTATTCTATACTCTTAATTAAAGTTGTAATACACAGTCACCTGGTCAAAACAAGCTCTAAACGAAGTTTTTTTGACTCAATATTGGTCAAACTACAACAAATTTAATATTTACTCTCTTGCAAAACTTTTTTTCTACTTTTTGTCTTTACCCCATCCCCTTTTTCTCTTACATGTTTTTCATGTAACTATACAATCATTTCCAAATCCATATATTATTAATTTACACCAACATTTGTAATCAACCTATTTATAGATATTCATTCAACACAATTTATTATTACTATATTTGGAGGTCATCTAAAGTGGAGGCACATCACGTGATACGAACTGCAATTGGTCGAAAAATTAAATTGAGGATTGGTTAATTGCGTACATCAAATTTTATAAAAATTATAAAAATTAAATTTTTTAAAAAATTAAACTAAAAGTATTTCATTAACTATTCAAGAAAATACAATAAATTTTTTTTTATTTTAATTATAAAGATCTCTAGAAATAAACTAAAAAAAAGTTCATCAAATTTGCTTGAATGGTTGTCGAGATATCTTCACTCAAAGTTTTGTAAAAATTTAAAATGCCTGTTCATAATTACGATAGCAAGCACTTGTAAAATGACTTTGAACGAAGATATCTTGACAACCATCCAAGCAAATTCGATGAATTTTTTTTCATTTAATGCTGAATATTTCTATAAGCAAAATAAAAAAAAGTTCATCGAATTTGCTTAGATGAATGTCGAGATATCTTCACTCAAAGTTCTGTAAAAATTTAAAATGTCTATTAATAATTATGATAACAAGTATTTGTAAAATAACTTTGAACAAAGATATCTCGACAACCATCTAAGCAAATTCAACGAACTTTTTTTTCATTTAATGCTGAATATTTCTATAAGTAAAATAAAAAAAAGTTCATCGAATTTGTTTGGATGGGTGTCAAGATATCTTTGCTCAAAGTTCTGTAAAAATTTAAAATATCTATTAATAATTACGATAACAAGTATTTGTAAAATAACTTTGAATAAAAATATCTTGACAACCATTCAAGCAAATTCGATGAACTTTTTTTTCATTTAATGCTGAATATTTCTAAAAGTAAAATAAAAAAAGGTTCATCAAATTTTCTTGGATGGGTGTCGAGATATTTTCATTCAAAGTTATTTCACAAGTGCTTATTATAGTAATTATGAATAGGCATTTTAAATTTTTACAGAACTTTGAGCGAAGATATCTTGACACCCATCTAAGCAAATTCGATGAACTTTTTTTCATTTAATGCTGAAGATTATAGAAATAGAAAAAAAAAGTTCATTGAATTTACTTGAATGGTTGTCGAGATATCTTTGTTCAAAGTCATTTCACAAGTGCTTGTTATTGTAATTATGAACAGGCATTTTAAATTTTTACAGAACTTTGAGTGAAGGTATCTCAACACCCATTCAACCAAATTCGATGAAGTTTTTTTTCATTTAATGCTGAAGATTTATAGAAGTAAAATAAAAAAAGTTCATCAAATTTACTGGGATGGTTGTCAAGATATTTTTATTCAAAATTATTTTACAAGTGCTTGTTACAGTAATTATGAATAGGTGTTTTAAATTTTGCAAAATTTTGAGCGAAGATATCTGACACCCATCCAAGCAAATTAGATCAACCTTTTTTTTATTTAACTTCATAAATCTTCAGTATTAAAACAAAAAAAAAAAATTATTGCATTTCTTGGATAGTTATTGAACTACTTAATTAAATTTTTAAAAATTTAGTTTTTAAGAAATTATATAAAATTTTATTGATAAATTTTTTTTTAAAAAGGATTATTTTATTCATTAAAAAAGGTCAAAATTAATATCTTGAACTTTGTAACAATGATACTGTAGAAAAACATGTCCACCTGGCTTTATTTATTTATTTATTTATTTTTTTTTTTAAAAAAAAAATATATATATAAAATTTTAATCTATCTAGTTATTAAAACATATAAAAAATTTTGATAAAAAATAAGCATTATATTAATATTCTATTTAATTTGAATTAAATAAAACCAAGGAATAATATTTAAATAAATAAAAAAAAAAATCTTTATCCAACTAAATAAATAAAACTAAATCACAAGTATAGTGCAGTAGTAAATACTGTCTTTATAATCAACTAAAATTAATGTATGTCAAATGAGACAGTAGATATTATAAACTTAAATAGATTTTATTTGCATCAATAAAATAAAAGATTTTTATACTAACCATAATGCAAAGTAAATTAACCCACAAACTAAATCCATGAATAAAATAGAAATAAGCATTAGGGATAGTGTAAAGGTAAATGATATCATTATAAACTAAAACACAATGAGAATATAAATCTTTTAAATATTAATAGTGACAATATATTAAGACAAAAGACCTTCACACATACCATGGTGCAATATAAAAATCTTGTTTCAAAACTGATTAATAAGAGATCTTAAACCTGTAAATTAAATTAAAACTTAAATTAAATTAGCGTGAACAATAAAAAGGTAACAGATGATGGTAAATGCTATAAATTTGAATGGCTTATCTAAATACTGATTAACAAAACCTAAATAAATTATCGTGAATGAGATATATAGTGTATAATAATGTTATGAACTCGAATAACTTTTTAAATAATAAAAAGATCTTTATACCACCTGATTAAATTAATATGAGTCAGTAAAGTTAAATAAGAATAGTATAATAGTAATTACAATAAGTAAAGGCGAATGTTATAAACTTTGATAAATATTCTGGTTAACAAATCTACTAAGTTAACAAGAATAAAGTTAAAGATATAGTGTAATAGTGAACATTATAAACTATACACAGACAAATAAATGATTTTTATACTCACTAACAAATTACTGTGAAAAAAATAAAGTTGTAATAAAATACTATGAATTCGAAAAGCAATTGTGATTAAAGTCTTTATATTTACTGACTAAAATAACATGTCTATATGAGAAATAGAACTCTGAAATTTAAAGATGACAATCATTAACTAAATAAATGAAAATAAGAATATAAATGAACAGATACGTAAATATTGATTCAAAGAGTTTGTTGAAAAGAATAGTTAAATCAGTTATAAAAATGTGAAATATTTGCCTTTGATATTCTTACCAGAATGACTCCGACAGTGAATAGAATAATCTAAGAGAAAAGTAATAAGTTTTAATTAAATTGAAAAGGTAAAATAAAATAAAATAAAAAATATGTAAGCAAAAATAATAAGTTTAAATTAATAAAAATATAGAGTGTTAATAGGAACTAAGCAAATGGTTTTTAGTGAAATTTTTTAAAAGTTTAAATTAAAATATCTAATCAACTATTAAACCAAATTTGAAAATTTTTTTTTTAATTAATTATAGAACTATATAAAATTAAAATAATAACAAATTTATCAAAGTTGTTTAATAATTGTTGAGATATTTTACTTTAAAGTTTATAAAAAATTTACTTAAAAATGATTTGTTTGGTTTCTATTGACACTCCCTCTATATATAGTTAAGATGCCTCTATTTTGACCATCATAACTAGAATTAGGATCATAGTTAGAATAAATGGATTTTGTAATATTAATTATTATGAAAATAGAAAATTATTATATAAAAATAGTAATTTTTTTAAAATAAAAAAAACATAATATTTAAAAAAGTATTTATTATATTTAAATTTTTTTTTATTAATATCAAATACTAATCAATTTAATTTTTTACATTCAATTGATCAAATTGCAAAATAATTGGATTTAAGGAGGCATCTAACATTGAGATATAAGCATTTACCCTTTCAATATTACTGGTCTCTTCAATATTCCACTATCTATCATGCACTCTTTTAGTTAATTCAGTCATGTCAATTCTCTGATTTTCAGTTTCTTTTTGTTGTTTAGTTTGCATATATTCTATGAATGATTCCTGACTTTCATATATCTCAAACCCATTTTCTTCAAACATTTCTTGAAATGCCTTCCATACATCACTAGTTAATAGCTTATTGCTATACATATGCTCATGAAAAATATGCTTACACAGCAACAAGTATCGATTGCAAAATATGCAATAACAATTGAGAGAGATTAAACTCAGAGTATCTTTTCCTTTTTCCAGCCTATTATTAACAGCGCAAGCTTCTTTAGCAAGTAATTTTTGAAATGGAAGGAGAAACTTACAGATTTCCTCAATAATATCGTTCTCAACACTATAGGCAGACACTTTTTTTATATGAAAGTTAAAGGTGGCACTTTTTGATTTGGATTTTTTTTTGTAATCGATATCAATGATACTATGAACAGCATCAATATAAAAAATTAGAACTGAGCAAGTGATTAAAAAAAAAACCAAAAAAAGGTTACCACTAGAGTTAGATTTCTAAATTCTAAATGTACAAATTAAACCATGTAGAGAAGATGTTACCTTCTTTATTTCGCTGTAAAACGATTTCAATGGATTCGTGAATGTAACTTGTAAAAGCAAAGAGGAATGTTAATATGCCCACAAACCCTATTGTTTCATGTTTTTTGCATAATTTCTCTTAACATAATTTTGTAAAGTAGGAACAGAGCAATGACTGATAGCATTTTGAACAAGGCTTTCACAGCCAATCTTGGTTCACTTATGCATTGCAGTAATCATAATGTCCTGGAATTCTTTTTCATATATCTTTTGCATCCACATTCTCATAACATAAATAACACAAAATATAATTTGGCATTCTTGCTTACTAGCAGTTATACTACAGAAAACCTTCTTAATGCTCTTAGCCTCAATACTGCTTTGATCTGAAAGCATGTAACAGAGAAACCAACAACTGTACTTGTTACAGATTACCAATAATGCATGCGATACTGTGTCACTATCTTCACTGCTAACAAAAAAGTGAGCCCCCACATTCCAGCAGCCATAAGTATCATGAATGTAAAGAGTGAACAAATGCCAATCGTACCAGTTTGTCTTGTGAGTCGAATCGATGAGTGTCAATCACCCATAGCGTTCAAGTTTTTCTAATTGTTTTGAATGCACAAACACAATTCCCTTAGTTGAACATTGTAAAACCAATATTACTCAACCAAATACTTTTGCTTTACTAAATAAGATATGGATTCTGAGATATCTAATTTTAAATCTGAATTTCCAATAAGGTGCACTTCCATAGGTCCATGAACCTTATATTTAATATTTGTGACTTCTTTGTGACTTAACTTATGCACACTTGCACCAAGACCTAACATAGTTGTTGCATATTCTTTTACAGTGGCCGTGATTGCTAGAGGGAAATAATTTTTTATTGCTTCTTGTTCAATCAAACTCCTGATGGCCTTTGATCACTTTATCTTATCAACTTCTAATAGAGTACGTGTGTAGTTGGGAAAGTTTTTATAGCATTCTATTCAGACCATCTTAAAAGCAACAAACCAAAAAACTTTAATTTTTGCATGAAATAGGCCAGATGGTCATATCTACATTATTTGGCATTGTTCATTTAAAACATTTTCCTTTTAACAAGTACTTGATGTTTTATGTTTCATAAAACGGCAGGAAAAGGTCTTTCTAATATCTCCATTCACATATTTGTGTGAATCCTATTGTGTCCAGATATTCGAAACTAATGGCCATCAATTATCATTAAAATCCTGTATTGGAACCTCTAAAGCTCCATTTACATCAAAAAGAAGACTACGCTTTTCATCTGATATGAGGTTTGATATTGACATGAAAACAGAAGGTACAATATCCCTAGCAACCAGAAGCACACCAGACATGATACTTGAAGAAACAACACCCAGGAGAGCAACACCCACAGCAACCAATGAGGCACCAAACGTGGTATTTGAAGAAGCGATGCTTGAAAAAACAGCATAACAGACATAACCAAAAAGTAACCTTATTCATTTTTTTTTTCTCGTTTTTTTTTTATTTTTTTTTTTTCTTGCCAATCTCCAAACACTAAAAAAAAGATTATAAATATAATTCTTGTAACCTTTATAAAATAAAAAAAATAGAACACTATTAAAAAAGAATACTTATATTATAAACTATACTTAATTTTATTACTCTCAACTCAGCAAAGTTTTTATAAAAAAAAATATGTATTGTCTCTAGTATTGCTTATATACAAACTTATGTATAAAAAAAAAAAAATATATATAAAAAAAATTATATCTATTTTTTTGTAAGTTGCTAGGTTAGCTTAAAAATTTAAGTTTTATATTCGAATGTTGATTTGCGAGAGAAAATAAAAAGAACCTATAAAAAAAACAAAAAAAAAAACATTTTTCAAAAATTCATAAGAAAAAAAAAAATAGAAGTTTAATAAATTTTTTTTTCAATCTGATACTATTTTCGATTTTTAATATATTCAACCAATCACAATCATAGTTACTTTACATGATGTGCCTCTGCTTTAGATGACCTCTATATTTGGTTCTTACTTATATTACACAATAATTTGTATCACAAATTACAGTTGTATTCAGTACCCAAGTCACAGTAGTGACCCCAACCAATCTAGTTACACTCTTGCACTACTTCAGTGACACCTTCATATTATAACCCTTGTTCTTATCTACTACCCTTGCAAATTTAATATTCACAATTATATTTGTTACTTAGTAAAATTCTCTAAGTCATAAATTTTGTTTTTCTTATCTCTACCTAACCTACAAATATTGTAAAATGCCTACATTAACTCACCAAGAGCCTGATACTGCAGACCTTGATTACTTCTACTAAAACTTCTCTGACAATTTTGGAATCGCTCTTTATGAAGAAGAACAAGGCAGCAAGGCTTGTTCAATCTCTCCAAAAATATAACCAACTTTCTACTTAACAAAAAATCTTAGATCACATAAGATTACACATTTCTTTCAAGCTCCTTCCTTTACCTTTGTAATTACTTGCCTTTGTGGCAAATATCACACCAAGTTTATTTTATCTACCAATACCAATCACATTCAAGCTACTGATTTTACTACTGCTCATATCAACAGCAACTTAAAAAAACTCAACAAAACAAGTCAAGATCTTATATCTAACATCTCTTCTTCTACCAACAGTGTTCCTCCATCTCCTATACCTGATGTACACTATCATACCTGCCCAAAATATTTTGTTTTAATTGGTTGTACCAAGAGAAATGAGTATCACTATCCTATTGAAAAATATGTTACTAAAAACAATGAAGTCTACCATCTTACCTGTATAACTGCCTCATCTCAGCATGAAGCTAGTTCTTCTTAAACCAAGAAAAATCTCACTCAAACTTTTCAAAACATCTTAATGGAATCTAACCAAACTACTAACCCCAATACTAATTTTTCTAACCAAACTTTCTCTACTACTTCTGATCTTATTAATTCTTTCTTTGATACAACTACACATACTAATCCTATTTCTAATCAACTTCCTATTACTAACATCTCTGACAACTTTAACTTAAATCCTAACAACTCTAGTAATATCAATCAACCTGACAATACTTCTAAAAAACCTCCTCTTCAAACTTATTCCAGTGTAGCCAAACCAAAATCTAATCCTATATATGACTAGTTTGCAAATTTTCCAATTACTGAAGAAATACAACCTAACAAAAAACTACAGACCACATTTTCTCTTCAACTCTTTACCTTTTTCAAAAAATTTTTCTATGACTTTTATCCTAGTAAGGAAATTAAACCAGCTATCTCTACCCAACCTGCACTTAAGGCCTCATTCTATTACATTATTCGTATTATGGCTAGACAACGACCAGAATTTTTAACTGATCTTATTTATAGTAGCAACCCCAATATCAACAAAAGTACTACTATCCTATTCAATTTACTTGAATCTACTCTTAAAAACTTATTACTTAAATTTACAACTGTCCTTTTTACAAAACTCAATTATTTTAAAATCTTTGTCTCATCAGTTACTATTTTTCATATACTGCCTACAATCACCTTCAACTTTGCCTTAATCTTGCATGACTTTACCTTTTTTTATCTAATAATTATCAATCAATAGACTATTAAAAATTTGCTGAAGATTTAAAACTTAGACCTAAAAGATTCAAAATTGAATCCTTTACTCAAACTATTGACCTTGACCAAAAATACCTTACCATTCAATCAGATGCTAGATTTAACATCATGCTTTTTTTCAATGTTCCAAAAACATTGTTTCTTGAAAGATTCTGTATTACCTCTTTAAAAAACTCCCTTGATCACTTTAATTCTTGGTTTGAAACCCACTATTCTCCTTATAGTCAACAATTTTCTTCTACTATTGATAAAGAAAAAGTTAAAACTTCTCTTCAAATTCAATTCTGTTAGCACTTTATTCTTTAACTCTCCAAGCACCTTCCTAAATCTTATATATTTCAAAAACCTAATTCACTTCATGAGTAACATAAGGAAGCATCTCATGTTGCAAATTTCTATTGTCTTATTTGCGACAACAAATCATGTCAATATCTCAATAACAAAAAATTCCATGACAGCACCAAACTTTTCAATAACATACTTAGCAAATCTTGCTTATTATTTCTACCCAAAGAGGATGAAACATGGATTCATCCTACTTTCAACACTACATTATTTCACAAAAACAAAGAATATGCTGCCTCACTCGACCAACCTATTCCTACCAAAGCCCTGGACAAGTTGACTAATAAAGCTGAAGACTTTGTCTGCAAACAAAACAAAGTTAAACCTAATCCTAAGTATCGTAATTACTACTTTTACTGCTATCTTTCACTATATTACCAAACTGCAGCAGAAAAGCACAACATACAGTCTCTTTCCAAGAAGGAGGCAATAAACCTATTAACAAAAAACATTATTGATACTAAATTCCTTGTCCAAATCATTACCTACTTTGATGTCATCAAAAATCAAAAATCTACTTACTTACAAATTGTCAAATATTTCAATGATACTGCCTATCCTGCAGCTAAGAAATTTTTAGCAAAAAAATTTAATCTTGACTTTCAACTAGTCTCTATCCTTGACTCACTCTTTTTACAATCTTCTTTTTAAGTTCTTTGTCTTCTACAACTAACATTGAAGCAGCCACCACCTTATTAAAAGAAACAACTACTGTAGTTAATAAGGAAA